CCTACAAAGGAAAAAGATGCATGTCACCAATCAGAAAAGGGGAGACAACTGTTTCCGGTCTCATAATTCATTTTCAGTTCAGCTATCTATTGTTGCCAGGAGACAAACCAGTTGTCCAAATGCTAATTTTAAAACAAACGGCTTTCTAACAATCCGTCACGCAACAAAGGAAGCTGATGGTAATGGCGGTGTTGCCTTGGTGATGACAGGATTAGACAAGTGTAAAAAGTAAATGGATGAAAAGAGGGAAAAGAACAAAGCAATGATAAAAGGCAGTGTTTGGATTAAATGAAAGAGGCATATGAGGAGACAGAGGGAGAAAGAGAAAAATGAATAAAAGTTTACGAATAGAGAGAAACAGAGACAGAGGAAGAATGAGTGAAATGTTACGGATAGAGAAAGAGAGACAAAGACAGAGAAAGAATGAATAACATGAATAGAGAGAGTGAGAGACAGAGAAAAAATGAATAAGATATTACGAACGGAGAGAGAGAGAGAGAGAGAGAGAGAGAGAGAGAGAAAATGATTGAATAAAAAGTTAAGAAAAGAGAGGAAAAAATGTATGAAAGGCTGCAAACAGAGAGTGAACAAATGGTTCCCAAGAGAAAGAGAGAAATAGTGAACGAATGGTTACAAGAGAGAGGAAAAGAGTTAACGAATGGTTGTAAGAGAGAGGGAAAGAGTGAGCGAAGAGAGAGTTTAATTTGGTTTATTTTGTTTTACGACAAATCAACCACAATGGGTTATTTAATACCGACAAGATTTTTATTGCTTCTAATATTTTTTTCTAAAATGTATTGTTGCTAATATTTTTCTCAAAATTGTATTGCTGGTAAAAATTTTTTTGAAAAATATATTGCTGCTAATATTTTTCCTTAAAAAATTCATTGCTGGTAATAAATTTTTCATCAGAACTTCAGTGCGGGTAATAATTTTTTACAAAAATGTATTGCTGATATTAAAACCTATTTTAACACTTTCATATTGTTTCGACCCCATTTTAGGAGTTAACTATTTACCGATAGGTGGGAACTTAACAGGTGCTACCACTCCGGGTCAAGGTGAACCTGGGAACACCAGCAACACAACGCACACCTCAACACCTCCTGATCAGAGGCTGTTGGATTTAGTTTATCGTCTTACCTAGGATGACGAAGAGAGAGCGAAAGGGAGAGTCTCCACGAATGGTTACGAAGAGAGAGCGAAAGCCTGAACGAATGGTTACGAAGAGAGAGCGAAAGCCTGAACGAATGGTTACGAAGAGAGAGCGAAAGCCTGAACGAATGGTTACGAAGAGAGAGCAAAAGTGTGAATGAATGGCTTGAGAAGAGAGTGGAAGCCTGAACCAGTGGTTACGAAGAGAGAGCGAAAGCCTGAACGAATGGTTTGAGAAGAGAGCGAAAGCCTGAACGAATGGTTACGAAGTGAGAGCGAAAGTGTGAATGAATGGCTTGAGAAGAGAGTGGAAGCCTGAATCAGTGGTTAAAGAGAGAGCGAAAGCCTGAACGAATGGTTTGAGAAGAGAGCGAAAGCCTGAACGAATGGTTACGAAGTGAGAGCGAAAGTGTGAATGAATGGCTTGAGAAGAGAGTGGAAGCCTGAACCAGTGGTTACGAAGAGAGAGCGAAAGCCTGAACGAATGGTTTGAGAAGAGAGCGAAAGCCTGAACGAATGGTTACGAAGTGAGAGCGAAAGTGTGAATGAATGGTTTGAGAAGAAAGCGAAAGTCTGAACGAATGGTTACGAAAAGAGAGCGAGTGTCTGAACGAATGGTTAAGAAGAAAATATAAAACGATGATTATAATTACCGTTGAACAAAAAAAAACTTAAAATGATCATTTATAAAATAAATTGATAGAGAAAAAAGAAAAGGAAAATAAAAAGCAGGAAGGGAATAGTACACCACAAAAGGGGATAAATTAAAATTTGATTACCAAACTATAAGAAAAACAATGAAGATAGAGTTGCGCCAAATATTCAATGGAACTCATTCAAAGAATAAAAGCTAAAAATGAAATTAAACACTGACAAGGAAGAGCGAAACAAAAATGGCGAAAAATGTCTACGGCTAAAAATTTGTAAAAGCTGTTTTGACGAAATTGCTAGTGATAAAGGCGAGTAAAAACAGTCCATGGGAAATGGAAAATTTTTGCCTCCGTGTTCGTTTGTCGTCGTTTCGTGACAAGGATGCTGATGACGTTTACTGCAATTACCTGAAATGATGCGTGAATAAAAAATGGGTTTAATGGAAGTGAGCAAACGAAAAAGGTAAATAATTTTTAATTTCCGGCGAAAAAGAAAAAATGAATAAATAAAGGATTTTTGAAGTTTGAAAAAAATGATTTTTTATTATTATTATTATTATTATTATTATTATTATTACCTGGTTGATTGGTTTCAGTCACTTTCCCATAACTTGCCTCTTTATGTCTTTTCCACGAATATTTTCCTGGTAATTTTTCGAATCAGCTCTTCACTATTGCACCTAGAGTTTTCGAATTTAAGCACAGTACTAGACTGACATTGAGATCTCATCAATTTACAGTTGAGCTGGCTGGATGTCACCGTAAGTTCTATGCTAACAGTTTCTTCTCTCGCTTGCGGACCTCTACCCTGCTTCATGCTTTTCAGCCAACTTTAATCTGCCAAAATTTAAATAAAAAAGTCAATCGAAATCTACTGTCCTCCTGATTACTCTTTTCTCTTTCTGATCATCATTATTGTTTCTGTTCCTAATTCTTCCACATCTTGTAACCGCTTGTGTCTTAGTGACTTTACTGCCTTGCATGGAGTCTTGAAAAAAGATGTCATTTTTTTTTATTAGCTCTCATCGAATTTGATTTACTATTGGGGCCATGGCAATCTGTTGCACTGAGGAGTCTTTATTTAATGTTTCTGGGAGACATTGAACTAATGCAGTACACTCATACCCTCGGTCACGATGACTTGTGACTTTGTGCTTGTGGAAATCGTTTCCGATTCCATGTTTTCCAGCCAAATTTGATATGTAAAAATTGAAATGCAATGTCAATCGCTATCTACTGTCCACCTGATTAATCTTTCCTCTTCCTGTTCAATATTAATGTTTCTGTTCCTAATTCTTTCACACTCTGTAACCCCTTTTGACTCAGTGGCTTTACTGCTTTGCATGGAGTGAAATTGAAAAAATGCCATTCTTTGATTAACTTTCATCGAATTTGACTTAGTTTTGGGGCCATGGGCATTTATTGCGCTGAGGAGTCGTTATTTAATGATTTTGAGAGAAACCGCACAATCTGGCAGTAATTGAACTAATACAGTACACTCAGAACCTCGGTCACGATGACTTGCGACTTCGTGCTTGCGGAACTCGTTTCCGATTCCATGCGTTTCAGCCAACTTTAATCTGTCAAAATTTAAATGCAAAGTCTATCGCTATCTCCTGTCTTCCTGATTATTCTTTTCTCTTCCCGCTCATCATTATTGTTTCTCTTCCTAATTCTCCCACACCTTTTGTATGGGGTGATACCCGTTAAAAAAATTCAACTGCAGCTGACCTCATAATTCTAGAAGCGGCACTGCAGATAATTTTGAACTCCATAATCTCTTCCATTACTGCATATGCGCCTCGCCGGACAGCTTATGTAATTCTAGATTGGCTGCCAACCACGGCTAGAGAATTAGGCGATCGTTACACTCTACGTACTTCTTTATTAGCTTTAAATTACGATAACTTCTTGAGAGATATTGAAAATTGTTTCCTTCTTCATGATTTTGAATTATTCTCCTAGACGTCAGTTTATCATTACCGGATCATGCCTTTCCCAAAGGCATTAGTGCGAAATTATGGGCACGTAGCCAAATGGTTAGAACGTCGGCATTCTGGCCATGATTCCCAGGTTCGAACCTCACCATGGTCGATTTGTCAAGAAGGTGACTTCTTCATGTTATCCGTCTGGAGGAGGCGGTCTTAGCATGCGGCACCTTTGGAAAGTGCCTGAAAACCATACTACGAGTTGACCCAAGCCTCGTAAAGTGAAATTGGGTAGGCGGTACCCTTTCTAACACGATGTTTGAGTGTGCTGACCTTGTTTTGACTGTTAATCACGCTAGATAACATGCTCTTTCCCAGAAACTGTAACTAAGGTCTGCTCAGCACAGTTGCAGTACAAACCACAGGTGGGCTCTGTGGGTGTTGAACAAACACAATTGCGCCTGAGCCGGCGTCTGCAATAGGGATTACCTGGCTGTCCTTGTAGACCGGTATCCTCGAATACGAGCGACCATTATTAAGTACGAAATTAAATGCAACTGACTACCCCGGAACTTGAACATAGGTCGTCGATTTTACTTTCCGCGTCGACAACCGTTACGATACTCGCATATCCACCTAAAAAGGATTTATTCTTTTTAATCAATATCACCCCATGCAAGGTAGTAAAGCCACTAAGACACAATGGGTTACATGGTATGGAAGAATTAGGAACAGAAACATTACTAATGAGTGGGAAGAGAAAAGAGTAACCAGGAGGACAGTAGACAGCGATTAACATTGGATTTAAATTTTTGCAGATTAAAGTTGGCTGGAAAGCATGGTGCCGGAAACGAGTTCCACAAGCACGAAGTGACAAGTCATCGTGACCGAGGGTCTAAATGTACTGGCTTAGTTCAACTACTGCCAGATTGTACTGTTTCTCCTAGAAACATTAAATAACGACTCCTCAGCACAATAAATATCCATGGCCCAAAAGGCAATCAAATTCGATGAAAGTTAATCAAAGAATTGCAAGTTACATTTTTTTCGGTTTCACATAATACAAGGCAATAAAGCCACTAAGACAAAAGGGTTTACAGGGTGTGGAAGAATTAGGAACAGAAACATTAATATTGAGCAAGAAGAGGAAAGAGTAATCAGGGGGACAGTAGCGATTGTGCCACAATTTGTAAATATTACAAATAAATAAAGCTCTCTGATTAACAATTCCAAGCCATTATCCATTACACCACCCACACATCCAACTTTACAGCACCTGGTATTACCAAGCGGTCACCCATCTAGGTAGTCACCAGGCTCAACATTGCTTAACTTCGGTGATCGTCCTGGAACTGGTGTTACAACATGATATGGCCCTAAACTGAATGTGTCTTTTGAACCTAGCTAGAAACTTACACTCTTTGCCCTAAATTGCCTGCAGCAAATCGGACGGTCGAACTGTTGTTTCTACAAAATATATTATTATTGTTTCTACAAAATATATTACTATTTGTACAAAATATATTATTAACACGCAAATCAAACTGATAATTAACCAAACAATGTTTAATTTTCATAATAATTTTTAAAAGCATATTCTAATACATACTTCATCTGTGGGATTTATTTTTAATTGAAATTTAAAAAGTTGCCATAAATAAGCTATGTTGCTGTCAATAAATTTCATCGTGTTTGTATAGAAAGCATTTATATATTTCTTGGTCAAAATTCAGTTGTAACCTACCAGCAGGAATATCAATGAGTTGCATTTAAATAAAAACTAAAATAAATGTAATCTTCAGTATCTGTCCATATTTCTGAGATATTTAATTCACCTCTCTAAGTTCTCCACTGCCTAAACCAGGTATTGAAATCACAATTCCTATAATTCGTATACAGATGTCCTTAAAGCACATGGCACAGTGGATAAAGGCGATGGTTAGATCCAGCGCAAAGGGTCCAAAGAGTTGCGAGTTCAATACCTGGTTAAAAAAATATATTTTGGTACCAAGATTACATTTACACTATTTACATTATTCGAACTATTGTCCTCATCTTTGTTGCCATATTTATCACAACGTTTCGGCCGCTGTACGCTCCAGCCTTCTTCAGGCGGTTGGAATGTCGAACTGAACCCTTTATATCCTTAAGGACACATGGCACAGTGGCTAAAGGCGTTGGTTAGATCCAGTGACAGGATCCAAAGAGGATCCAGTGACAGGATCCAAAGAGGATCCAGTGACAGGATCTCTGTAGAAAAATGTTTCTTGTATGGTCAGCTCTGTAGAAAAAAGTGTCTGGTATGGTAATCTTTGTAAAAAAATGTTTCTTGCATGGCCAGCTCTGTAGAAAAATGTTTCTTGTATGGTCATCTCTGTAGATAAATGTTTCTTGTATGGTCATCTCTGTAGATAAATGTTTCTTGTATGGTCATCTCTGTAGATAAATGTTTCTTGTATGGTCAGCAAAGTAGATAAATTTTTCTTGTATGGTCAGCAAAGTAGATAACTGCTTCTTCTATGGTCAGCAAAGTAGAAAATTTGAGTTGACTTAGCATAACGACAAAAGAAACTTTTAAAAAATTGATTTCTTTTCGAAAATTCATTTTATATAGAAATGTTATATTTTATTCGACAATTTACTTTTCTATGGCCGAAGGACGAGTATTTGGCTAGTTTTTAAACAATGGATAATTTATCTTGCGAATGTGCAAAATAAATGTTTATTCATGAATAAATTACCAAGATATATATAGCCCACAGATTTTATTAAAACTGTACACATTAATAAATTATTTAATATGCAAATAAGGGTTACATGTCGCACTATAACTTTACGCGTTTTTTTATCGAGAGATTTTATCTATTTTTCCGACCTAGTTAGTAGTGAGTTCGATCCTCACTGGGTGCTTCTCATTTCTTGCTTTGTCTAACATCTAAGCTACGCTTAGAAAATCTTTTTCTTTTTGTTTTTTTTTGTTTTTTTTTTTAACCTGCCGTGACCGTGAGAATTATTATCTCTCAGTTGCGTGTCTGCCTTTGGGTAGAATGTCACTTACTTATGGCTCTGCCCGCGGACAGAGACGCAGCTGCGGGGAATAAAATAGTGAGGTGACCGGTCCCGGGGAACGGCTACCCGTGGGTGCAACCCCCGTCCTCACGCCAAAACATTACACTAGAAAAGAGGAATCGGTAGTTAAATCGATGCCAGCGCAAACAACGATTGCGGGGGATGGGTAATTTTTGTCCCTGACACGAGTCTAGTCGCTTGAGTTCCCCCCCACATTAAACCCGACCTTGTGTCATATCCCGTCTAGGTGAGGAACTAGGGTAAATTCAAGCTTACCATTGCTTACAATGGCACTTCGACGTGGTGTTATGTTTAGCAATCTTGTCTCGCTGTATCAATTATGAGTGAGTAGTGAGTTCGATCCTCACTAGGTGAACCATACTTGCTGCCTTGGGCTATATCTAAGTTACGCTTAGAAAGCCAGCATAATTTCATGATTATAAAAATATACTTCCCTTGTGTAGACGAAAGACTATGCGAGTCAGTTACAAAATATGTTAAGTCCAACCCGGAGTGGGAGACCTTTCCTCAGACAATACCCCACTCTCAGAAAGTGGATGGGTTTATTGCCCGGAGCCTGAGACGTTTCCAAAAGGGGTAGTGCCGAGGGGACGTTGGCAATTTTTTCACGATATTGCCGTTAAGCCCACTTTAAATCTCGACTTTGTATCATATTCAGTAGCGACCGTGGCGCGCCAAAAATTACCCATAGCATTACTTACAGCGGTTTTTATTGGTTCCCACTTATCTTTGGTTTTAATCTTATTTCCAATTGTCAAATAGAAACGCGTCCAATATTGAATTATATCTTTCTGATGTCAGTTTAAACTGACGCCATCTTTTTTTTTTTCCATTTATCAAATATTATAATTATAATTATTTACACTATTTACATTGTCAGGGCTGTTGTCCTCATCTTTATTGCCATATTCACAACGTTATACGCTCCGACCTTCTGTAGATAATTAGAATTTCGAACTGAACCCTTTATTTCGCCCACTGGGATAGACTGACCCAAAGAGTTGTGAATTTAATACCTAGCTGCAGCTGAGGTGAACAAAACCTTGGAGAGTTGTGTTAAAGGGAAATAAGTGACACTGAGACATCCGGAAGAGACATGGCACGTGGAATTTGAACATCCTACCCCTGTGGACGAAATAAAGTGTTCAGTTCGGAATTCCAATCACCTGATTGAAGCCGGAGCGTACAATGGTCAAAATGTCGTGAATATGGCAATAAAGATGAGGACAACAGTCCAAACAATATAAATTGTGTAAATAATTACAATATGTCATCTCAGATATATAGACAGTTGTAATTATAAATTGTAGTTTTAGAAAGTGAAAATTTCACTAAAATATGTTAGAAAAATTTCAAATTTTTTTAACTAAAATTAAAAGAACAAATTTTAAGACAAATGAGCACAGCATATGGAAAACGAAACACATATTCTTCTGGCGTCAGTTTAAACTGACGCCTTCTCTATCCCATATATACAAACCATTATAATTTTGAAAAGTGAAAACTTCACTGAAATATGTTGGAAAATTCCCAAGTCTTCATCTGAAATCAAGAAAACAGGTACCTTAAGCAAAATGATTGCAATATATGGAAAATGATGGCGTTACTTTGAGCCGTATCCTTCTGACATCTTTTTTCCCCTCATATATCTCAAGTATAATTATAAACTACAATTTTGGAAAGTAAAAATTTCACTGAAATATGTTGGAAAATTTCCAAGCTTTCATGTGAAATCAAGAAAATATTCACTTTAAGAAAAATGGTTACAATATATGGAAAAACAGAAGGTGTCAGTTTAAACTGATGCCAGGAGGATATTGGTTTGGGGACGACAGTTTCAAAATCAAATATTAACCAGTTCTGCAGATTCGATCGTAATAAAAATTCCAGTAAATATTCTTAAACACTTATTCTACACTATGGTAAGTAATAAAAATAAAGTATCAAGGATGAAGATAATTATAGAACATAAACTTATCGACAAGTATATCTCCTGAATATGAAGATAAACTACATTCGGTAGGTTTTGAAGAGCGTGGAACCGCCTCTTAATTGTTGCTGTTCCCATGATCACCCTGACCCGGGGTATTAGTACATGTTAGGGTCCCAACTATGGGCAAATAGTTTACCCCGAAACTGGGGTCAAAACACTATGAAAGTATAAAAATGGATTTTTTTAATGCAGTGACAAAGAGCAGTGACAAAAAGACTTGAAAATGAAATCGGACGTGAAACCTGTGAGACATTTTTAACTATATATATTTATATATATATATATATATATATATATATATATATATATATTATATAGCCATCCACAGACAGACTGTATCACAGCTAGATATCCGATCGCTTCAGGCCGGGGCAGAACCCGATCGATTTGATATCAATCGGAGATCCTAACCCGTAGGCCATCGACGCCCGGCAGAGAGAAAGGCCAATTTTTGCGTATTTATTTTATTCATAAACACACCAGTCACTCAGAGAACTCAATCGCTAGGAGAGCAGTAATAGTGACTGTTTTACAAATTCGTTCCTTACTCCCCACAATGCTCGACCGATTAAACTATTTTATCGAGAGCTAATGTCGTCATCATATATTCCTGTAAGAAAATAATTTTATAAAAAAAAAATCTTCTCTAATTTTTTAAATTTTTCTTTAAGGAATTTTCCATATAGAAACTAGATGTTAATATTTTAAAATATAGGTCAAGGTTATTGTAACTGGTATCTGAATACTAACCCTCCCCTTCTACCACCATGAAACTGTTTAAGATTTGTCTAGACGATTTGCTATGTCCTCTGTTATATTCGTCTTTCTCTTTTTCTTTTTTTCCTTCTTTTTTTTCTTTTACTCCTTCATCTTTCTCTCTTCTTCTTTCTTGATTCTTTAAAGATTAAAATTTTTAAACTGCCGTTTTATTTAATTTATTTATTTACTTGGTGTTGACAAATCCTGCAAGAAAGATCTTGTTGCAGTGAAATAGCTATTCAAATAGGATAATTATGGAAAAAAATATTACCAGCAATACATTTGACTCGACAAAACCCTTTTTACAAAAATACGTCAATGAAGCCTGATTCCTGCAAACTGATTTCTTACAAAGAATACATATTCTATTCATACGAACCAATCCTAAAAATCTTGTCGGCACTAAATAACCCATTGAGGTTGATATGCCGTAAAACAAAATAAACTATACCTGATCTACAAACTGATTTCTTACAAAGAATACATATTCTATTCATACGAACCTATCCTAAAAATCTTGTCGGCATTAAATAACC